TTGAATCGTGACATGCTTCAATATAATTAATTTAATTTGAATTAATGTATATCAAAATATTTTAAATTATAGTTAGTACTATGTTAGTAGTATGAGGTTTTCAAAGGACACTATTTAATATTACGACACAATAATTATTGGGAGAAAATCAAAAACAAATGAAGAACGCAATCAAATCCCAAAGTTAGATAGTAAAACAATTTCACACATGTGGTGAACATGTTTGTAACGTTAACAAATCATCACAAACTATTCCCTATAAATATTACTAATAGAAAACATGTGTTTCAAGATTACACTTTGAAAACCGTTCGTACCTTGAACTGAAACGAGAATGCATGTTGCAAGTGCTAGATGCATATCAAACTGTGACGTATGAAGGTGATCTCTACAACATCCTGTATATATTAAGAATGCATAGAAGGCCGACATTTAGTTTCACCGTAAACCTACTGATAGTGGTTTTGCTCGCAAGTCCAAGGCTCCTTAACGAACTCATTGTCATTATTACATCTAACCTAGCATATATATTTATTTATACAAATAAGAAAGCCCACGGACGTTGCTATTGCTGCAAATTCACAAAATATATGTGTACATGTACAAGAAGAAGATTTACGTAAAAACGCTCCCAATTACGGACAGAATTCATAAATTTTCAAACTAACTTAAAATGATTTTAATACAAAATTGCACAAATAAATGCGTACTAAAATTTACAGTGGCAAAATAAACATACAAGCTACAAAAATATAATATAACCTTTTTTAGAGACTCTTGGGCCGTGAGGTTCAAGTGCACAGGCGCTTATTAAAGATTTAAGTTGGTGCCTGGTAGGCAGTACCGGTGACCCCAGAGCTGGTGCTTTCCTTGCTCAACGAATAAGTATCGTACAGCGAGGAAATGCTGCCAGCGTTAAAGGTACACTGCCACAGAGACCAAACTTAAATTTGTTTGGATTTTCTTTTTAATAATTTTTATTATTACTTAGTAGGTTAAGAAAATTGTAAATACTGTATATTATAATATTAAAAAAAACATATAACCTATAATATGTTTTCTATAGATTTGTTTCAATATCCCTACCTTCTAAAAAGCCATATCGCGTGGAATATTCTTAAAAAAAATGTTTTAGTAGGAGACTTTAGTAGAAGATGGACTTGGTATATATAATGTTCATGGCTGAACTATGCCGGGAACTATATGTTTACAAGAGACAAATATACATAGATCAATAAAGGCACTATATTAATAAGGTAAAGTAGTATAACAATGGAGCACGTAAAAATTGAGGATACTTATTTATATAGTTGTAAATCCGAAGCGGACTTGACCAAGTTTGGGCTATAAACTATAAAATTTAAATTACATGATGCAATACCATATTTATAAATAATATTCATTCATAATAAGGAAAAGGCAAATTGTCTAACCTTGCTGAAATTAATACGTATGTAAATGTGGGATATAAATATTATTATAGGTTATTCTTTACTATTTATTTATAATAATACGATTAACGCCATATCAAAATTTTAATCAAACTATTTATCGATACGCAAAAATACTGCATGGATACTGAATTCCAACGGGGAATGAAACTGCTACATTTTTGCATCTGATTCATTTATAAAGCTAATCTGTGCCTACAAATTAGATTTAATTAATGTACCGAGAATCGAACCCTGGCCAGACCGGAAGGCTTGTTATCGCATAATGGTATAAAAACGGCTTTATAGACTAGACATGGGCACTGTTTAAAAACCATTATAGAGAGTGCAACTGATGTGAAACCGGGACGGGTCTGTAGTTAATTATGTTTGTTGTATACCATATACGAAGCACTGCGTTCACACTTTCATACAACAATGAGATCTTTCAATGGGTGAAACTGTGTGACCTAGACAGTTCATACAGCCAATTAAAAATTCGTTATATGCTATTTATAACATTTATCGTAAACAAAAAAAACAATTATTTTTATTAAAGTGACATCGCAATCGAATAGAAAATACCTGCTTTCTCTGTACTACACACGTCTTTTACTAAAACAAATACAATTAAGCGACCCACTGTTTTATTAAAAATATATTCTCTTATTATTTTTACAAAATGAATAAACAAAACATTTTAAAATAAAAGCGTTCAGAAACAGACTCACCGTAATTAATTCAAAAATATTTTTGAAGCAATCCGTTTGTAATTCACTGTGCGTTACTGTGTTTGAATATAATCGGCCATTGTATTATTTGCATTGTTATATTTTAAATTGTATATTTAAACGACGCGGCGTGGAATCGTCGACTCGTACCACACACTCACGGCGAACTAAACGTGAAAATGTCGACCGCTACTTACAACTAGTTTCAACCACAATCTTTAATATTGAAGTAAGATTTTAATTTTATTTAAAAGACCGTTTGTTGACGGTTACTCCCGCGGCCTCGCCGGGGCCAACTGCACTGCGTTAGTTCACTGTAGTTGTGACCTAGGGTTGGATGTTCAAGGATATATTTTCATAGTTTATTAACCCAACTAATACAAGCTAAGCAATAATAACATGATTTTAAAATACGTTGTCCACGCAATCAATTATGTGAAAACGTTTACGTCACATTTGTAAATATTAAAGCGTAAGAAAAGCTATGATATCTGTAGCATACCTACCTGATTTAACATTTAAGGGAAATAGGTGAAATAACTTTTATTTTGTATTAAATCTATACGAAGGTCTGTGCCCTTTTTTGGTATTGATAAACCAATACGGGTATTAATGGCTTTAGGCCTTTTGCTAACCCTAACATAGGTACTCGTACTTGCACAAGCGCATGAACTGTGTAATCTTGTCTTCATCTGTTATGCACTTTCTTGTTCAATAAAAATGTATGTTAAAACTGTGTTTTTTTTAAATTAGTGTCAGTGCACGCTAAAGAGTGGTACGTGGAAAAAATAGTACACAAGAACAAAGTGTCTTCCCTTAAGTAGTGTTATTGGACACTTTCTTATGTTAGATTTTTTTTAAATATACTTAAGTTAGGCTAGATCGTAATACTAATAAATGATGTCTTTGTGTAGAGACAATTTATATAAAATTTTTTTTTTAGAAAAATGGAAAAATGCAGAATATACTTATATTGTCTGGCAAAGAGCCCTATATTTTGTATTAATACTGGTAAAATAATTAAATAGGTATTTTTATATCAAAAATGACTTGCTATGATTATATAATTATTAAATCTGTATAAGCTATTGTTAAGAGGAAAATAACCTAACAATGTTGTATCATATGTCATATAAAATCCTCATGACTTTTTTGTATTATTCGGAAGTTATTAAAAAATAAAATATATATACACAAATTTTGTACTTAATAGTATTTCAAATGGGTACCGAGTTTCTTGCCGTCTCTTCTCGGTAGTAACGTTTCGAACGGTATGATATACATCTCATCATTCCATTTGTCCTTCCTTTCAAAAGAACGCGTTTCGGCGAAAACTCACCGATATCCAGATTAAGTATTCAGTTAAACGAGCTAGGTCTGAATATCCATTCAGACCTAGCTCAACCATCCATTCTCACACTTTGAAATCGATTTTCATGTTGTTTTTATAATTTAATATTTTGGTCTCATTCTTTTTTATCTCTGTGTATGTTATTTGTCTTTAAGTAGGTACTTGTCACATTAATTATGGTATTTTATTTTTCCAATGTTCTATCAAGCCTTTATAAATAAAGAAATGGTATTTTACTTAAAATTACCACAGCTTAAAACATCGATTCAAATTACGTATAGTCTAATATAACATTTTTTAACCAAACAACAAACACGAAACATTAACTTAAGACGTGCTAGTTACTTGGTGACCCGCCCTCCTAGAACTAACTATGGAAAAAGAAGTTTGGAGTATGAGGGTGTTACAATTTATAATAAGTTACCATCAGTTATAAAAGCAGAACAAAATTATGCCCGATTTAAAAGCTTCTAAAAACTGACACATTAATTACATACAAATAATTGATCAAAATATAATATGTATATTTAAATATATATATATATATATATATATATATATATATATATATATATATATATATATATATCGACAAGAATGCGATAACACTTGAAATGTATAATGTTTAAGAACTTTAAACTAACACCACTCACGGTGTTAAAGAATTGTATTTGATATTGACCAAAATCTGCCTATAGGTGATTTTAATTTGTAAAAATGTTTTATAAACCTTGTACATACCCTAAATATATAAATATAGGAATAAACTAAAAATAAAATAGTCTTATGAAAAATAATAAAATAATCAATATAAACTTGTTATATCAGACTATGCCATCAATGCCACATCTAGAAAAAAATTAAATTCTAACATCCGTGTTTCGCTTGGTTGACTGACCAAGTTTTTTATGTCTACCCACATTTTTGGTGCTGTTCTGTTTTCTTATTTTATATATGTACCTACATCTGTGCGCTCTAATTTTTAATCTTAGTTTTAAATATGTGTTTCTCAGTAAGTGAATTTTCAATTCTTATGAGAAATAAAGTTATTCTTAAACCTTTTTTTAAATAAAAACCTACTTAATGTTATTTTGATTAGTGAGGACCAGACACAAAGCTACGGTAGTCGCTATTCAATTGTTTCCCACATCGCTTTGTATTGTACAATTGGTGACCTTTTAATTCATAGCTTGATATGACCAATCATATCGAAACAGTACGAATATAACTGTGATTAATCTTAAGTGCTACATGTAATAAAAATTAACTGCAATTGTTGTAAAAATATATTTAAGAATAGTTCGATATGTTATAAAGATACATAAATTTTACATATTTAGGCCCATTTTAGTATTAACAGATAATACTTAATATATTGGTAAGTCAAAGTCACAACAGTGTACAATATACACTATTACACTTCTATAATTATATAAAATTAAATTAAAAGCCTTTGTTATGACATATATTTGTAGACATATAAAGCACTTAAAAGTCAATATCCCATCCCGAAGTCTCGTCCGGGGGTAATTTATCTTTAGGATATTTCTCGAAGTTGGATAAATCTAAATCGTTGGATACGGGTTGAATTAATGGTGCCTTCAGTTTTCCTTCCTTTAATCCTTCCCAGTCGAAACCGAGGAACCACCTATAAATAAAAAAAATAAAACTTTGAAATATTACATTTTTTATTTACATTATCGACGGTTCGGTTGTTAGCTTACACGTCGACTACATTAAATAATGAATTACGTTTATTTCCGATATTTTATTCATAACTACCTACGCTAAATGATAATTAATTTTCGAAAGAGAATCTAAAACCATAATTGTTAATATACGCACCATTAGAATGCTATATTATAACTGATTAAATTCCATAGGCTATCATAAAAATAAACCCCTTATTCACAAGAATTCAATCTTTGAAATGTTTTCTTTTTAGTTTTGTTAATTATTTCGTCTCTTTCTCTCAAATTGTGTCAACATTGTAATGAGAAGAGACAGATAAGTACTTGATACGCAATTCAACTGATTTATTGTTCACGTAGATCTAATATAATACAATAATCCCTTAAAATAAATGCATTAATTTAAAATTTTACGAGTAGGTAATATTTGTTTGAAATATAAAATAGTGTGACGGCCTTCCTTCCGTAAAACAACACGTTACACTATTTTGTTTGTATGACGCCATACATCCGATTTGAATTTCGAATGCTAACTGGGATCATGATTCACGCATATAATCTGCGTTGGGAATTTCCAATATGTGTAAACGTTAAGTGAAGTTATTTCGTGCATGGTCATTTCATTCATAGTTGATGTTATTGACACAATTTCTTTCACCTACATTTTTTATTTATAAATTATATCCGCCTCCATGTTATATATAATTTCTGGCAATTAAATTATTGTTTCGGGAGGGGCATCAAAAGCATTCACAACAAAATTATTAGGAAACTGATGAGATGATAGGTGAACATTCTGCATTAGATATCATATATTTAATTGGTTAAATGTAACCTTTGAAGTTCTGACACATTATCGAGATGATCCTTCAGGTATATTCCGAGTAAAGAATCAAAGGTTCAGTAGCCTTTGACGCTTCGGTATTGACTCATTTCTGAAGGGGCATGAGGAATTTCTTCAGTTTTAGTTAAAATGTTGTCGAATTAATTTTCAAAATTATTTTTTTATGTAAAACTGTTCAGTGTAATAAAATAATCATAATAATAAGCCTTTTTATTTCCTGTTTTACAACAGTTGGTAGTTGCTATATTACAGTAATAAAAAAAATTATTTTTGTTAGTAGGTTAGCTAGATTATGTTAGTAATATATATATGTATTATTTATTTATAAAAGAACAGGAACCCCGGTTCCCGTAAAGGCCTCCTCCAAAGATGCCCATTCTTGTCGGTCTTGTGCTATGGAGTACCAGCTGATCTTTTTAGATCATCTTGTTATTCAGCTACTTGTGTATTATACTCTGACTTACTTATGGTTCTTAACATCAATTATTCCATTCTTCAGATATCCCAATCGTTCTGCAGGTACAGCACGACACAGTTTGCGTATGAGCATTTGAGCAGACTTGGGCACTCGAGGGTGGAAGGCCACTGCATCGATACCACGTAATATGAGGGTGTATGTTTTCATGTGATCACCACCAGCAGCTCGGAAGGGTGGCTTGCCAACCAACAGCTCGTGGATGAAGACTCCTAACGCCCAGCAGTCCACTGCGCGGTCATGTCCCTAATAGGAAAATTATTAATAATAGTGTATTTGATTTACACGAATACAAAGTACGAGTACTACATGTTTAAATAAAATTCAAGAAAAATAAACTTTAAACAACTTTTTTGATATAAACGTGAATCTCGATAAATCAAAAACGCGAATCCTATAAAGAATTATCTAGACATAATGTTTTTATTTTATTGACAGGACCCCTAGGCCTATGTGCCTATCAGGCACGCGATCAGGCAGATATGTGGCCGACCTGTCAAATCTCCCTAAAAAGGGAATTTATTTGCTTAAAAGGCTTGAAGTCTCCCGCCGGGCCCGGGCCTAGGATTTATTTTTCTTTATTTATTTATTAGTAATCGTACAGCTAACAAACATATTATAAAACAAAACACTATACAAAGCCAAAACAGATTACATAGATAAACAAAATAAATGAAACAGAAAACATAAGTAAGTACATTAATAGACAAAAGTATATTTAAAAGAATTAAAGGCAACTGAAATTTAACATTAAACCAACGACGATTAGTATTAAATATTTCAAAAAAATAAATTAGATTGTTACTGCTTAAAGAAAGTCAAAGTCTTCCCGCCTCTTCAAATATTTCCTCACATCTTTGGTGAGGTGGAAATATCAATATCCTCATAGGATAAATAACTATTGCCTTAAAAGAGCCGCCACTTAAAAAAGTGATAGACAATTATTTACTCTTAAGATTTAATATGCAATGAAGATTCTACTGAATTAGGTATAGATTGCATTGCCAATAACTAATGAAGATATATTAGGTAGGATGACAAATGTCCGGAAACGGAAGAAAGATCAGACATCAAAAGAATACTATTGTTTCTGCAGTCCAAATTCAGTACGACCTCTTTCAAATGCAAATGCAAGAGTGACAAAATTTTTAAATACCACGATGCAACAATGGTTCTACAAATTATATTGTTTTAAATTGTTTAATTGGTGTATGTCAGCGGCAAATATACACATGAACAAGTGAATCCTTCGGCATTGGGTTGACCAGAAACTGATAATAAATACTAAAAAATAAGTTAAAAACTTTTTGCAAAATAACACGAAAGATATATGAAAAACAATTACAAATACAAGCGTATGTTATTTCCACACATCGTACTATAGTGAACACACAAGGAACAAGTCGAAGTTTTAATTCTAGAAAGCAGAGGAAGAATTGGCTATAGGTAAAATCTTGAATGATATATGTAATTAAAAAAATACAGTTGACAAGTCATAAGTATTGAATTACAATATGTGAAGGCTATTAAAGGTATAACATGACATCTTATGTTTCAGAATAAATGTTGTTTGAAGGCCCTAGTCTCACGCCCTTGATGAGTTGCATTTATCTTCAATAACATGTGGTAGTGCAGTGTTGGCCTAGTGGCTTCAGCGTGCGACTCTCATACCTGAGGTCGTAGGTTCGATCCCCGGCTGTGCACCAATGGACTTTCTTTCAATGTGCGCATTTAACATTAGCTCGAACGGTGAAGGTAAACATCGTGAGGAAACCGACATGTCTTAGACCCAAAAAGTCGACGGCGTGTGTCAGGCACTGGAGGCTGATCACCTACTTGCCAATTAGATTTAAAAATTATCATGAAACAGATTCAGAAATTTGAGGCCAAGACCTAAAGAGGTTGTAGCGCCACAGATTTTTTTTAACATGTAGTAAGTACATTTCAACAGGAATCGAACCCAGCCTCAGTTAGTGGATCATGATTAAATGGGTTTTATGCGAATAAAATTGAGTACCTTATTTAAGACGATTTCAGGTGCAACGTATTCTGGGGTGCCTGCAAATGTCCAGGTCTTACTGTTCGATGACAAACGCTTAGCAAATCCAAAATCCACCTGAAAGTAATAATCGTTATTTAGTATGGGAGTTATGAGTAAAAGTATGGCCCCTATATTCCTAGGGTGTCCATGGTAGGTTTCAAAGTAGTTACAAAAAAATATGTACTTGGTATTACATATTAAGACAGTTTTAATATACATATTCCTTAATTATAATTAGTGCTTATTCAAAATGGTATTATTACCTTTTTTATTAATATAATAAGTATGATGTAAGTTAGTGTTTTTTGTAAGTTATTTTTCCAATTACTGAATCATCAATTTGCTATATTCATATTTTAGAACCTACTTACCTAAATTTGTAAGTTTGCGTAAATTACGTTGTTAATATTCAAGATCTTATTTCTGTTTAAGTTCCCACACTTCAATACTAGGTGAAACACGTGGAAAACGTGTCAAACATACTCGAACCAATTATAAGTATGTAAACTAAACAGTTATACAAACACTACATATGGAAGTGTTTAATAAATTTGTATACAATAAAATAACATCCTGAAGTTAGAAATATATAAAAATCACGTTAAATTTCTCGTACAATGAATTTTTTCTACAAAGAATTCCGGATTTAGCGGTAGGTATGACTCGAATGAGTCAAAAACGGATTCATTGAACCCTGAGTCGTACGTTCAAGTCCTGTGAACCAATGGACATTTCTTTAAAGCAATTGATAGTTGCTTGTACGGTGAAGGTAAACTTAGAGTACCTAAGGAAATCTTAGAGCCCAGAAATCGAAGACATTTGTTGACCCCTAATGGATGATCACCTATGTGCCTGTAATATAAATAATCAAGAAAACAGATGCAAATTCTGCTGATGATTCTGCCTTTACTTTTTGGTAAGGTTTAAAACTAACTGTATATCATCAATATTCTACGCACCTTCAAATCTTATTACATTATTTATATAATACTAGTATACATTCCACTATAATGTTTCAATAGGCGAATTCTGTAGGAACAATAGTTTTTTTTTCATCTATAGGTACTTACGGCGTAATTACGTTTTTATTGCCTCTGTATGCAATACAAACAAATGTATCGTTTTATCAGCCTTGCTATGACATGATTAACTCACAGATTATATTAGGTTTTTCATTATTTAATCTTATGCGATTAATCACACGTTACAGTTTCAAAATAGAGCAGCTGGCCCTATGTGACTACGTAAAGCTAGACACCGAGAGGAGTGGAAGCTCAACAGAAATTAACCGGCTTGCTGATTAATTATTATAGTACTTCACATTTTTATGTACTAGGATAAATATTTTACAGCAATAAAGGCTTTTATTATTATTATAAATATATTTTTTTATTTATTTAAACGTTCTAAAACAATGTGTATACCTAAAAAATACAAGAAAAATATGACATCACAAATTTAACACACATACACATCAATTACATTAGAACATAAGCAATCTATCAAAGGAAAAAATTAAACAAACAACCACAAAAAAAAGGGTCCGTGTACTTATGTACGCGCGTAAGAAGTTATACTTCTTTGGCAATATTAAAAATAGTTTGGCTTTGTTCCACCTCCAGTTTTTGATGTTTCACAGCGATAAGATGGAAACTCTTTTTTGTATTCAATTTAGTGCAGTTACACTGATTCATCAATTGTTTTTTCTCTTTTCCTTATATTTGCTAGATAAAATCAGAAAAATTACATGTTTTGATTAAACAATTGGTTAATTTTTATAATCAAAACATTACTCGATAATAATAATAATACATACGGATACTTAACCTCAATTGTATTGAAGCACTTAGGAAGGTTGATGAGCACAGTTTTTTCACAAATATTAATTAGTATTGGTTTAAATATTCAATTTAAATCACTTCTGATTATAATTCAAAAAGCATCGTAAATTTCTTTGAAAAAATAATTAAAACTCCTTTATTTGTTTAAAAGGTAAATGACAAATGTCATTATGGTCATTCAAAATTGTTGGCATACGAACTTCACGCATATTCTATTTCTTTTTACTTGTAGATTGTCTTATTCCTATCTCGCTCGCGCACGCTATAATCACACTTCCAATTTTGTGTCACGGGTGCGCGGATTGTAAAATTTCACTCTCATAAATTTTTCATAACGCGCCTAAAGAAGTATAACTTCAAAAATAATAACTAAAACTAAAAAGATAAAAAATAACAATATCAATAATAAGACTAATTGAAATGTACGTACCAGTTTGATATAGCCCTTTCTATCTAGCATTAAATTTTCAGGCTTAAGATCTCTATAAATTATATCTTTCGAGTGCAGATACTGAAAGGCCTCCACCACACAGGCCGCCATAAACCGTGCAATGTTCTCGGGGAAGTACCGTTGCTTTTGTAGTATTGTCCACACGTCGCCACCCAACACTGGCTCCATTAGGAAATAAATGTATTTGTTATCTTTGAATGTGCGATATAATCTGAAATTGGTTTTAATATATGTATCGACTTCACATTTAGTTCGTAACTTGAAAATTTACAAGAGGTTAAAGACATAAGTACTCTCAAAGTATTCAATGAGTTTGTTTAAAGTTCTTGCTAATACAGTGGAATCTCTATAACTCGAACCTCGGTAAGTCGAAATTAATATATTTATAATAATATTTCCCTGATACGCGCTATCTCGAATTATTAGGACTTTGTAACTCGAACAAAATATTATTTCCCTACGAAGTATTGATAAAACATACATATTTTATAACTCGAATTTCAAGACGGAGTGTAAGTCGTAGTTAGTAAAATATAAGACGTCTTACTTCAATTTGCGCCTCTGTAAGTCGAAATTTCAGCAGTTAAATCATATGTATCTCGAAGTTCTTGTTAAGTCGAAAACTCGTTAACTCGATTTCCCATTTCGAGACATAAAGATTCCACTGTAGTATAAAGTAGAAACAGTCCACTTACCGACAAATAAATCTACTGTTACACAATATCATGATATTTTTCTCATTAAACGCGTGTTCTTGCTGTTGCTGTTGAACCATTTCGATTTTCTTAAGGCATTTGAGCGCAAAGGTTTTCGATGTATCTTTCTTGTACTGTACTAATTCCACTCGGCCGAAACCACCCACTCCCATCGTTCCCACAATATCCAAGTCTTTTAATTCTATGTATTCATATTCTGGGAATATAAAAAAGATTTAATTATACCTATTGGTTTTAAACCTCTTTGGGATTTTTTTTAATGTAAAAGGAGGCAAACGGGCTCACTTGATGTTAAGTGATACTGGACACTCCCCCAGAAACTCGCAAGTGCGTTGCTGGCTTTTTAAGACTTGTTACGCTCTAAAAAAAAAAAAACAAAAAAAAAAAAAAAAAAAAAAAAAAAGGGGGGGCCCCCCCCAAAAAAGGGGGGGGGGCCCAAAAAAAAAAAAAAAAAAACCAAAAAAGGGGGAAAACCGCCCCCCCCCGGGGAAGGGGGGGAATTTTTTTTTTTTTCCTTCCCCCCCGGGGGAAAAAAACACCCCCCCGAAAAAAAAAAAAAAACAGACCAAGCCCCCCCCCCTGGGGGGGGGGCGATAAAAAAAAGAGAGACCAAAAAAAGCCAAATTTTTTAACGTTATGAAATTATGGAATCGTAATGGTTTAATCATTTCTTGTAGGAAAAGGACTATACCTGCGAAGATGGCTCCTACTAAAACTGTTACTATGTACCTATGTCTATTATATGTATATATTGTATAATAAGTACCTAACATAATGTTTGTATTTTTTGTAATAATGCAATGCTATTTTTTCATTCAAATATCATTCATATAAGCCGCTATCAATTATGATTGTTTATGAGTCAACGTGGTACTAATTACCCTCGCACTTAGTAATCTTATCTTACAAGTTCAAAGAAATTCCCGGAAAGGATTAAACTGCAAAATTACCACTCTTTACTTCCGAAGTCTTCTTTTGTTGTGATGGCCTAGGCACAGCGTGTCTCACGTTTTTGAGTGCTTGCAAATTTCCTAATAAATCCGTAAATGGTCTGAAAAATGAATATAGAATGAACCTTAATTGCCTGTTATACTTTGCGTTAATCTTTACATTGGTGCATTGTTGCTTGTTGGTAATCTCAAACCAAGCTACAAGTAAGTCCTGTACTCCTAGTACAATTTATATAGAATTATGTAGACATCTGTCAAACGTTTCAAGCTACATTACAAAGCTATCAAAAAATGTAGGTAGACCAAACACTTACTTGAATTAAAATAATTAAAAGTAATTTATATTACTTAAAAGGCATGCCGATTTCCTCACGATAGTTACTACACGTGCGTATTTAACATTCGCTATTAAATGCCTACAAAAAGACCATTTGACCTGAGGTATGAACCCACGAGGTTGGGAAGCGTATGCGTCAAATAGAATGCATAGATTGCTATACTGAAGACTATTTAAGTAATAATTTCGATTATTATTATTATATATATTTGCATTTGCAGGTGACATGGTTCATAGAATGTCTAATTTCTACTTTTGAACCAAAGAATGAGTGACTGAAATAATGAATTCTATGTATTGCTTATGGTACCCGCGTTCTAATGTCAAACATTCGACTCCTGGAGCCAAAGCTGTCACAGTAGCAAGCCGCCGGTCCTCATGCAGCAAAGCCTGTTCGCCGAAGTATTCACCGCGTTTGAGCAGACCCACTCGTCTTTCGCCGCCATCACCATCCCGCTTCGTCACCACTACCGTACCACCTCTAATGATGTAGAACTTATCACCCTTATCACCTTGACGTACCACCGGTGTACCGGAAGCAAAGAATTCCTGTAAGATTAATAAATTGAATTAATAATTTGCACTTTTGTGACTATTTTAGGTACCTTATTTTTTATCCTCCAATAGAGATATCGCCAGCATTCCTGACCCCTATAAACACTATCATCGCTTCGGATATTGGGTGTACTCCATGGACGTTGCATACATAATCGCCGGGACCGATTTAATATTCATTCATAAATACTTCTTTACAGGAACAATATAGGGATTAACAATTTCAAATCAAACCTAGGTTTGTAAAGTATTTGCATACCAACAAATGTGTACACATACATCGTATGGTATATGCGAATTAAATTCGAAAGATTTGTAGGTATTCGTTTTTGTAATCTCTTTAGTGTTTAATTTTCGCTTCACTGAGCGCCGCTAAAAAGTAATTAAAATTCAAGATACTGTTCTTTTACGTTTTCATGCAATCATTTTGGGGCCGTTCAAGTATTACGTAAGCAATAGGTACAGGGGGAAGGGGAGGTTTTCTTTGATTTTCTTATTTGGTGATTACGTCAACAGTTATTATTAACTTTTTTACACATATTACCCACACATTGTCTATGCTTGAAAAATAAATGCATTTTGGAGAATTCCTACAAAAAATTAATACGTTTACGTACTATTATATTTGAGCGCTTTGCTTACTTTTAGTGACAACAGGAGGGGGGAGAAATTGTAGTAAATGTGCTTACGTAACACTTGAACGGCCCCTTTCCAATTATCAATATTTCTGTCCTTACCATTATTGCGTCATACAATTTGCTACGCTCAAATATAAATAAAATAAAATATATTATTTATTGTCGCGTTGCTACGTGTACAAATTCAGTACATTGCCTTAGAAAAAAAGTATCCTTACCCGCTTTAAAAAGTCAGCAATTTTTGCAAGATCAATTGGATGGATTCCTTGCAAAAGAGGGACAGAGGATAAGAACCGCATGTTGTCCTCCTGCTCTTGACGCCCACTTCGAACCATTATTTTTTGGAAAACGCGCCTTTCCAAAGTCCATACTTTTGCTTCTGTTATACCTGAATTTTATATTTGAATTAGCATATATCCGTTTAACTTTTCAATAAAATCATTGAATTACTGAAACACCAAAGAAAAATACCTACCAAATATAAAACAAATAGTCACGATAAATACAAATACGTTATTAGACAAAAGTTGTCCCTTAAAACATGTATAAAATTGCCAAGAAAAACTATTGTTTTATTTGGTACTGGAAGATTATACAAACTCTTTTTAAATGCAATCATTAAAAGCAATTAAAATCTTTATTCCCTTTCACGTTTATTAAGGCCAAAATTGAATTATCGTGCGATATGTTTTACAAATTAAATTTGGCCTCATCGTTTGATCAACGCCTACGCCATTAATGAATGTAGGACGGGTTCGATTGATGTTTATTTGTTTAGGAGTTTTGGGCCCTTGAGAACAAATATTGACATTACAATTCAAAGTTAGAAGTTAATAGAAAGTTATATGACGCTTACACCGTATTGACGCGAAACGCTTGGCTTTATACAAAATGGCCAGTTCGCCGAACGCTTCTCCAGGTCCGAAATTCTTCACTACTTGACCGCCTTTCAACACTTCGAACTGTCCATATGCAGACACATATAAATGACTGCCACTTTCTCCCTCTCGTATCATGAGACTCCCAGCGGGGAATTCCTGAGGGCTCATGGCCTCCACAACCGCTCCCAGTCTATCTTCATCCATTATATTTTTTAAGAAATCATTCGCCATTAAAGCCTTTTTTATTTGTTCTATTGATCTGAAAATTAAATTTTCGGTGAATGAATATTATACAAGGTATATTACGGCTATCGTAAAGTTACATACAATGTAACTAAAGTTTTAAGACTGCTATCGTTACATTTTGACAAACCACAGCAGTTTAATGTAACATATTATGATTTTATTATATTACTTTGTAAAAAAATATCTATTGAATGTCGAATTTCGAACGATATATACGTATCTGACCTTGTATGTAGCAAGCAACGTTGACACAATAAATTATTTAAAAAAAAGGGTGCGTGTACGTAGATATGTACGCGCGTAAGAAGTTATACTTCTTTGGCAATATTAAAAATAGTTTTTGATTGCATGCAAATAATTAATTTCAATTAAATAATCAAAGACTGGAAAAGGAGTCATTATAGTCAATAAAGTTCAGTTTACATTTGAAAAATTAAAGAAATAAATATTTATTATTATTCTCTTACATTAAGTGTAACATAAATTTTATTATTATTCGAATGTTGTTTTTAAATTATGTCCAATGCCGTAGCATCTTCCGTGGGCAACTTCATTCTGTTAATTTTGTGTCACGGTGCGCGCGCATCGTAAAATTTCACTCTCATCAATTTTTTATAACGCGCCTAAAGTATAACTTCAATAAAACCATGCTTCGGCAGTTATAAAACTAATAAGTACTATACTTATAAAAATATTTTAGCTTATCATGTTGAAGCACTTACTCTTCGTCTTTAGCATATTTCTCATATTGAAGATCTGTCAGAGATCTGGAGTTATCGAGCGGTGCATGAGGTGCGATCACCCCACGTTTCCTCCTCATACGTCTCTCGGGATTGCTTTGAACGATTTCAGATATTGTTTTGCGTGCAGAATTTACTTTTTGGTCCTCTGATCCACTGTCAGAGTCCCTCGATTGGCTCTCTCTGTATTTTTCGCTTTGTACACTAATGTAGCTGGAATTTTTACTTGAGCCAACATCAGGAACCACCAGGCCTTTTTTATAAATTTCCGTGTTGCCATTTTGCGTGTCTGCAGAGTTCTCTGGTAGAACCTAAGATTACAAATAACATACGTTAGATATTTAGGTAAATAATAAGAAGTAGCAATTGTCCTAGAATGTTCTATGTAATAAATATTACAATTATTGTTAGGCTTACAATACCATAAAACACTAGATAAATGCATTAGTTCCGAGCACTACTTCACTCTTATACTTTGCCTCAATGTGAAACTAGGATTATTTTTAGTATGAAATATAGATATTTTTTTTGGAATTCGGTTTATGTTAATCCTTGGGATATGTGGAACGAAGTTGAATATTAATCGAGATACAACTTAATTTCTATTGATGAAAATATTGATATATTTTACAATAATCTTCCAACTTTGCTTATCATGCTCTTAATGAGGTTTAAGTTTCTATTTAGTTTTAGTTATTATTGTATTTTTGTGGTTGCTTGTTAATTTTGTTCTAATATAATTGATGTGTATGTGTGTAAAATTAGTGATGTCATATTTTCTTGTATAATTTTATGCATACACATTGTTTTGGAACATATAAATAAATAATAAACGATTGCGCGTTGATAAAACTGAAACAACTGATCCTAAAATATGTGCACATGATCTATATTGGACTTGAAACTGCAATTTCTTTTTTAGTTATTCAAAAATACTAGTTTTTTATAGCTGTAGCTGAGCTGTGGCCTACTTGATACTTGATAGCAGTTTTTGCCAGGTCATAAAAATAGCGTATTGAATGAAAAAGACTACACGGCATCATTGGTTAATTGTTGTGGTGGCTTCCCAGAGCATATTTACAGAGATACCTATATCAGGGGATGCGAGTTGTGGCATCAATCAAGTCTCATGCATACTGTTAGGTACGTTTTTGTAAGCAACCTTTTTACCTATGTTACACGGGGTTATTTAACCGTGTTATCTGACCAATATATAAACTATTATTTTTTTCAACTATCCCATACTCATTTTAATTTAAATATTAATCTATTGCTGACTACAAAATTATAATAATATCTAATTAACACTAATAAGACTGATGAAATATTTAGAAAACTATATTTATAACATTATTGTAGACAAGCATAAAAAATATATTTGAATGATTCCACTATGAGGTACTCGTAAACGGGAGTCTGAGCCTACTTCGAAAACATGCCATCAAGCTATTTAAAACACGTAATTTGTATGCGATAAACGCTCAGTGACAGACATCGAACACAAAATTCCATTTAATCCTAATATGTATAAGTGAGCATAAACTAAGTTATTTCTACAATCAACGTAAGATTAAAAAATCCATGATTAATTATTTTTAGTATAACATAGAACAGCTAAACATTCTAAGAATTGTGCCTCATTTCAAATAGTTCGCCAGTAGTTTTGTCCGGGCCTATGATTATTTATTTGTGTTTATTTAAGGACCCTAAGTGGAAAATAAAATAACTGAAACTTGAAGCAAGTTCACATCGGGTTATTTTATGTTTTAATTTAAATTACATTATCGAGTAATGGGCGGTCATTTTCTGTAACAATATATATTTACGACTATAGAAAGACCACGGTTTGGACTGATCAGAGGTAGTCGCACATTTAACTTCTTCTTCGCGAATTTAAATATGTACCTCATAATCATTAAAATTCTAACTCAGATGGATAGCACTTAGAACCATGTCGTGTATTTTAAAAATTACTTAGGACTTGTAGCCTATAAGAGACGTACTGGTAATTTCATAACTGATAATTTAAAAACTTTTGTCGGTAAAATCAGTAACAACGACTGAACGGCACGCAAAGGAAGGTCACCCGAAAAGTTCGGATAAATTTAAAATTTCATGTGAGAATAGTTTGAAAAAAAAAGACCGTAAGTATTTATGCTCCAAGCTCCTAAGGACGTGGGCACTATCCGACTCAGTGACGGTTTGGTCGGGTATTAGGATGACTGAGCCATATTTTTGTGAAAAAGGTAACAAAACATCGGCACAAGTGGATAAAGATACGATTCCTGAGAAGTTTGTGAAGCCTCTTAACAACACCATGTTTGATAACCTATAATGTTCCTTCCAGCAACACTCGCCGCCGGGTCATAAACACTCGGTCTACGCAATCTTGTTTGTAAACGAACGCGTTTCGGACTTTATCCGAGACTGAACACTTGGCCGTCGTCCCGTACATCAAGTGCGGCTCTACTCCATATAATATGTATCCAAAGCAATCCGTACTATAGTTTAGAATTTTCCTACGAAAGCAGTGAATAATGATTAATGCTCAATGTTTAAAGGACTGTATGGCAGCCAATGGAGACCACATCGAATAAGTTCTATATTTATGTATTAATAACTACACTGGTAAAAGTAATAAATGTTCATTTGCAATAGAATTTTGTCTTTCGGTATTATGAAGACTAGGACTTATGAATTTATTTAGCGAAAGGATTTCTCCTTTCATTGCAAAACTAAAATTAACTTAAACTTGAAACTAGTTCACATTGTGTTACTTGTTATGTTTTAATTTAATTTACAATTAATAAAGAATTAATTTGCAAACATTTTTATTAAAAAAATTATAATATGCATTGTAGACGAAAAACTTATTGGTGATAAAAAGGCCATCAAAGAAATATTCTTATATCGTTTGAATATTCGTCTTTAGTGATTTCAGTAACGAGAGTGGCCACCATTAGCCTAATCCGGCTTGACAACGTATGGTCGCGATTTTCCGAATATATTCTTGTGATCCTACATAATCATTCAAGATTCTGCTCTCAAGATGAAATAGGACGCTTAGAACCATGTCGCAGTATCTGTTTAAAAGATTACTTCAGGACTTGTGGAGGCCCTATAAGAGATCGTACTGTGTAATTCTGACGTAACTGGGTATGCGGCCTGGCATAATCTTGCATTAAAAAGAATATGTCGGCTAAAATTCGTCCAACAACTATCTTGAACGGCACTTTCAATGTAAGTTTGAGCAAAAGGAGGTCACACGACGAAAATTTCGTTCACTACGGTTGAAATCATCACAAAGCATCTTTCATGTTAGCAATATCGCTCGCCTGGGCGTTTGAAAACACAACGATGCACCGTGTTAACGGAATGTGATGTCAGTAAAGCACTGGCCTCTAAGGACCAAAGCGTGATTTGGCACTATCCGACTTCAGTGATGGTTTGGCACAGCCCGATGGTCGGCGTGATCTAGGAGTGACTTAGCCTTTTTGAAGGTAACAAAACATCGGCACTAAGTGTATCTTGTAGATCTCTTGCATTTCTGGGAAGTTTCGTGAAGCCCCTTAACAATACCATGTTTAATAACCAAGAATTTTCCTTCCAGCAACACTCGCCGCCGGGTCATAAAGCTCGGTCTCACGCAATCGCTTCCAAAGTCTGAAACAGAACGTTTCGGACATTTATACAGAGCTGAAGACCCGCTTCAGTAAGCGTCTAGTCCCGGACAATGCAGAGTGCGGTCAGATCTACGCCATGACTAATTTCAGTCGCCTAATGAATAACAATACGTACCGATTGGCAGTTTTAGTAATTTTCCTCCCACGAAAGAGAGCTACTTAAAATTGATAACTGGCCTCAAAGTAATGTTAAAGGTCACTTTGTATTTAGGCAGCCAATGGAGACCACTTCGAATAAGTTTCTTATATTTATGTACTTCGACAACCTTAACACTACTGTAAAAGTAATAAAATGTTATTTAAAAGTAATTTCTTTTTTTAAGTATTTATGGCAAGACAAGGGACATATATTAAAAGAACATGACCTATTGCTTTTGCTCATCCAACATAATTAAAATAGATGTATGTCCCGTTACACCCCAATTCATAAACAGGAAATTCTAAAGAATACTTATAGGTAACTCTATTATTTAAACATATGCTAATGTATAGTATATAAGAGATATTATGTAGGTTAGTGGTAATCCAGAACGTGCTAGAGTCGAATTCCGAGACAATAATAAAGCACTTATTAAGATTGGGCTTGAACTTGTCCAATATAAAAGTAAGTGGAACCGATGCAGAATCGCGGGGCTCATTGGGTGTTACGGTCAACGTCGTGAAAATAATATTGTAAAGTATATTTAAAAAAAAAATCAATACGATACATTAAATACGTCAACCAAATACACCTAATTCAGGTGTATGTAAGTGAGGGTGTGTATATTCCTAATATTCATTTAAAGCATATTCCGCGATAGCTTAGCTATTTATACACGAAGATCATCTTTACTCTTATACTAGACAATGTCGCGGTCTTGACAAGTTCATTGTAAACTCTTTATAACGAATTTCAAGGGACCGAGCAATTTTTTTTCGTTATAATGAGTGAATTAATTATTTAATTATGAGTTTGTGTTAAACCAAACAAATTTAACTCATTTTTACATTATAGAGGTTATAGGTTTTTCGTTATAAAGACTTTACACTGTATTACGATTTCTCAATCAGCTCTCTACAATCATTAATTAAAATTAAATTAGCTGTGATTTCGAGTATTATCGAAGCTATCAAGATTACAAATGATAATTTTGATTTTATTCCTTTCAATTAGCCTCACATACATACCTTTTATTTAACACATTTATTATGCGTTATTTAATTGACCTGGTTCCAAGACGAAGCCGTTTTGATAGCTTTTTTGTCTTGAATATTTTGGTAAAAATCTCATAATTTAATAGATGCACGTAAGACGCTGTGAAGTAAAATTAAAATCTCACATAGAATGTTTCCCGTCGCCCAACATCTCGTCTCTCAGCCACTGCAGTCGTCAGGTCAAACCTATTTCTAGAAGACCACCGAAACGGCGGACACAGCACCATTATATTCCCCACGATTTAAAACTCAAAACATTTCCTCACATACACGTTATCACGTAAGGTGCACTAACTTTACTGTGCGATTCTTTATCGCTCGCTAGATTATCTGTCATGCCGATTGTTTTAATTATTTAGTTCTAAGGGTGATTAGTTTATTATCAAGGAAACTTGCAATCTTATCTTTACACTATCATTGCCCAATCACTGCTATTCAGAAAAGCATTTCAATATTTCTTGAGCGTGGCCGATTCTGATTTACCACGCCACGCCACCGTTTTATTTAATCATCCTCACCTTTGCCGAGAAACATATTTTGAAACGGTCAGGAAATGTATAAGAAAAACACAATTCATACTATAATATTTATTAATAACGTAAATGAGTACACAATGCCAAAGGCTTTAAATGGTTCACTTCATTCGATTTTTCATTTGGAAAAAATATATAACTATACATTTAAGAAAATCAGCTCTGCCATCTATTGCCACACTGAAAATCCGTATCACAAATCGCATATTCGCTGTGCACTAGACTCGTTATTACCATCGGCCGGTACCAAAGTGCATGATCGTATGAAAAGTGCCAAACGGAAGACATTTAACGCGGGTTCACTAAGTATATTCAAGTTCTAAAAACATTAAATTTTAACATTATACAAACATACAGACATGGAAATTGAGCATAGTAGTAATATCTAAATACTGGTCAATTACGCGTTGCGTCAAGCGCGCGCCATAAAACGGGCGTGAATCTGTCCTCATTCCGGCAAATTCAACCATTTCCCAAAACGTAAAACATTTCAGCCGTCGTAAAATAAGAGTATTGTGATAATAATAATTAAAACAGGTCGAAATCGGCTTACATTTTTAGGAAAATTGGTTTGAATCGGTAGCCGGTCGCGAGGCCGCAATGCGTACGCTACCGATTTTAGTACAGGTCAAGGTCAGACGGGTGAATGCTGGCCGGATCTTTGTTAACTCAACAAATAGGGCAGTACACAGCTGTACGTTTAAATGCAGAAATAAGAACAGATCACACCTTCTATAATATAAAATGAACTAAACTCATAGACATGCCGTAATAAAACTTGGTGCATTTATTAAAAATTAAGTGGCGGCACGTCTACGACTTTAATGACGTAGGCGTTAACCCAGCTACGATCTGAATACTACGCTAATGCTGATTTTTCAGTCACGAGCCGGACGCTGTCCGAATAGGCTGATGACTGGAAAATCAGTGCAATATGAAACAGCGACGAGTGCAATTGACAAACGAGTGTTACTTATTAACTCACTACTTCAACAATATAAATCCGACGGTACAAATTGTATGCACAACACTAGGCGTCCGCGCAGCCATAACATTATTTACAATTCTGTTGCGCTGTGTCCGACTGACACAACACAACACAACCGCTGATATGATAGTATTATGCACGAAATAACAATTTATGCCTAATAGACGAGAAGCGGAGGTGCACAGCGCGATGGAAAATTGTTAATTTAACATTTTAGAGAAAGAAACCGTTACAAAATACAGTTATCACTTACCTAATCGATTATTATATAATACATTGATTTTGACATTTCTTTTTCAAAATCTTATCGTAGCACACTAACCATTTTGTCAGATATGTCGTGTAAATTCAGATTTTTCTCCATGTAACAAATACGATTGCGTAAATATTATGACGAAATTGATTTAAAAATATAATACAAAAAATCAGCGATACAGAGAGCATTCGAGTAAACGGGACGTGAGTATATAATGGTCAACTGGATCAAAATCCATCCCAAATACTTCAATTAAAACGTTACTTAATTCTTTGTGACTCCACAAAAATATCAAATTAAACAACTAGAAAGCAATCAACGATTGAATCACATGTACTTATGTTCTGTACTTAGATGTAAAAAGTTTGCATAAAAATCATATAAATCTTAAATTAGACCCTAAATATAATACATTCACGCATGAGTATTTAGCGATAAAGCACAAAAATCTTGTTCAAAGCTGCAACATGACTACGTATCCTACGATTACCTAAAACATAAAAGCCCGTGGCACTACAAGGTGAGTGAAATTATAATTAAGAAAATATGACACGAAAAGGCTTACGTAATAATAGCTCCTAAAAATAACTTACATTGAATTCAAACTCAGAAACGAAACGGTCTCTTAGCTATCACATGAAATCAAGAAAAGCACCATTATTTCTATATAATTGTGCGCAAAGACTAGAACTTCTTAGAAAACGTAGAAGGATATGGAGGCTGACTTCGTTAACTTTGATCGCTTCAACCGCGAGAACTGAGTTCAAAAACTAAATTAAAATGTTAATCATCACAACAACCAAACGAGTCGAATCTTTTAAAGAAATTCTGTGCCAATACATCGAATCGTTACCTGAACGACGTACAACGTATGTAAGAAAAAAGTGCGCCAAATTGATTTTCACTAAGATTTTGATTTTGAATTTCATAGCGAAAGACTATTACTACTGTGGATTAAATTAACATGCAAAAGCTCCGAAATTCGTATGAATCGATGGGTATTTGTGCTTTGGTATAAACGTTGAGCGAATCATACAAATACATTACAATTCTAGGTTATCTAATTACGAAGTCTAACGGTTGGACCCGTACGAAAGTTAAAACGGAGGTTATTGTAAAATCCTCGAGAAAATTAAACCGCAATTACAAGGAGAAATCTCAATGATATGTAAGAACTCCAATGAGTAATTCTTCTTAAAAACTACATTTAAAGCATTACTGCCTACAACTGTTACACTAGGCAATACAACTAGCGATCAATAAACATCTACGTAAAGGGCGAAAGGAATCTTATTAGCTCAAAACGCTCATCCAAAAGGAAGCCAGTCCTGGAAAACATTTGTGTATAATCTGCACCTAGTTGTTCGTATATTCTAAAACAACCGAATCATGGCACCGGTTCGCACCAAAGTGATACCGTCAGTCCGGTAAGTTCACTATGGAGAATACGAATTGTTTTGTACGAGTACAAAAATAAATTGTAATTCTAAAGGGAGTTAAATTAGATTCAAAAGCTAAAATTTTGTTCCACGTAAAATTAAATGTTTTAAAATGTGGGTATTTACAATTTCTCTATGATATGCAAGTGCAAAGCTCACTAAATATTTTTACAAGTAAAACTATTGTCCATATGTAACAACTACGCTAGGAATACCTAATTAACAATACGTTTAAATGTAACGCGTGCTGATCCGTCAGTTTCCTCGAACGATGCTCGCACTTTTTTCGAAAATATTAACAATATAATTAACTATTTCAATGAGAAATTTATGACTTTGGTATTTATGAGTTCTAGCCCCGTCGAGCTATACGCAGTACTACTGCTTTCCCTATCATAATTTTGTACGTGTATAAAGAGAGTTCATTGTCATGTTACGTAAAGATGACCGAAGTACTAAGAATATTCGAGATATAAAATCGCTAAGTTGTTCCACTGGCTTAGTATGGCGCGAATCTGTTGTATCCGCTTCTGTACAATGCAGTCTGTGGAAAAATCATACGTTTTATTGAAGAAAATATTTAAAATGCCGAAAGTTCAGTTTGACATTTTACATGAAATTACACAGATTAGTAAATAAAATAATTACCCCATATCCTGTAACGGGCCCGATGCTATGCCCTAAATATGGGTCTGCGTACTCCCTTCCATATCTGTAAAGAGATATATTAATATAAATAGGTTCATTTATAAACATTTATTCATTAGAAGAAGGAATAGTTACACTAAATCAATTTAACATTAATTAGAAGAAAGAATAGTTTCAATAAATGAATTCTACATTCATTAGAAGAAGGAATGGTTACACTAAATGAATTCTACATTCATTAGAAGAAGGAATGGTTACACTAAATGAATTCTACATTCATTAGAAAAAGGAATGGTTTCACTAAATTAATTCTACATTCATTAGAAGAAGGAATGTTTACACTAAATGAATTCTACATTCATTAGAAGAAGGAATAGTTATATACTAAATGAATTATTACAACAATATACTACATTCATTAGAACAAAGAAAAGTTACACATTAAATGAATCCTACTTCGTTACTAAAATAAAATCTAAATACAGAACTATACATATAAGACTTACGTGGCAGCTAAAGGAGTGAGTGCCGCTTGTGCGGGCGATGCACTAACAGCGGCGGCGGCCGCAGCTCGAGCTGCTGCGCCATAGTTAGCGGCCGCTGCTGCTGCTGCAGCGTGCTGAGCACTCGTTAATGGCGACTTTAGCAATGGAGCTGCTGCTGCGGCTGCCGCAGCCGCCTGTAAATTATAGCAAATTTATTTTTACTTTCATTATATATGATGTGGGATGACAACCAATTTGATACACATACTAAACGAACTAAGTAGATGTACAATTCATGTTCCAAATTTATCAGATTAAATTATTTAGATAGATTTACAGGCGGCAATGTTTCTTGGTAATAACGCCTCACCATTGGGAGCCCAATATAACAAATACGATAGTATATAATAGTTATGTTTAATTTTAGATTAAATATAAATAACCTAGTACATAAAGAATGAAAAATAAATAAACCTATGACAAAAACAATGAGCCCACAAAGGCACATTTATAAAATAAAACTAATGAACAGTTAAATAGGTCGATGAATCTTACCGAAGTGATAACGTCCATGAGGTCTTTGTTCGATAAATAAAATTGGAAAGCAATAAACGCATCGAACTAAAACGAGCAAAATGATGGACGATGAAAAATGTAATACACATGCAAATTTGAATTTCTGCACACCGTTACTATACAGAAGGCGTAAATGAAATCATGCTTGTCTGCATCGACTACACCATAGACTAAGTGTTAGTGGTATGAGGGTGAAAATTTGTGGGCTCAATGTTCTACACGTTGCATGATGTACATTGAGATAAAAACAGCTCGAACTAGAACTAATTCACCCACTACGAACAGAAGCGGTCGCTGATTCTGTTATCACAAACACAGTGCAACCAGTTACGGTGAAACGTCTCGACAAAGGAGCAACCAAAATCCCAGCACTCACTCCACAATCAAACTGTACTAGCGTGGACACAAATCAGAAAGCAATACAATTAGACGGAGCCCGGATTACCTCAGCTGCGGGTTTCACCGCCTGCAACAACACACCTACTATCACGACTCGATTTGGTTATTTTATTACAATGGGGTATCAATTTGTTTGTGCGACCGTGATTTAAAATTGTATGTATTTCTGAATTACGACGGGTTTAAAGACATTTATTCTCATAACAGACAATAGTCACTTGAGAACTTATATACTAAAGATACAATTTATCACGTCGTGGGTCATTGAAGAGCTTCAAGGATGAGTTAGCGAAGTAGAACTTGGGTGGAATTTCATTTACGTAGAGAACTGGGAACACTCAAGAGATGGTCTTATAGCCGCCACAGCACTCCCCCGACGCTCAATGTTTTTTTTACCGTAAATGGTTCTATACTTAGGTAGAATTATATTATGAGAGCGTCGTGAACAAATTCAAATTTAATGACGTGGAAAAGAATTTTGTTAAATAATAAACATTTTTTTATTTTTATTTAACTGCGCTTCTGAATTTGATTTATTTTAGTGAAAATAATGTTAGTGTGTTTATAGTCATTTAAATTTTTGTAGATTAATAAGCTGGTATTGTATTGAAATAATTGATTTATATTCATAAGTTTTGTTTCACTTTAAATTTTTTGTGTATGGGTAATGAAAAAGCAATTTAGTTAGTTTATTTTGAGCAATTTGAATTTGTGATATGTTAGTTTTAGTCGCGGCTCCCCAAATTTCAATAAGGTAAAGGTGTGATTTTGCCAAAGAACTATAAATATGAAGACTGATGAGGAAGATGAACTTTGTGTCTGCGTATTGACTCAGCAATTGCCGCGCTATGATCGAATCTTTTGTTAAGCAATATGTGTGTGGGTTAGTCTGTATATTAAAGCTTACAATTATTCAAGTGTGAAAATCCACTATTGCATTATGTTATTTACGGACAGTAAGAAAGCCTTGGCGCGGAAAATATCCCACGCAGTTGAGTGACGAGCGTTATTCGGTACGCCGTAATAGCTAAACAAGGGGCAACGCAAAACACAACGAAAAGAAAAGAGAAAAAAAAAAAAAAAAAAAAAGGCAAACCAGCCGGCCCCCCCCCCCACCCCCACCCCGCCGCCCCCGGGGCCCGCGGGGGAAAAAAAAAAAAAAAAAAAAAAAAAAAAAACCCAAAAAAAAGCCCACACCACCAAAAGGAAAAAAAAAAAAAGCCCGGAAGGGGGGGGGGGGGGGGGGGAAAAAAACAAAAGGGGAAAAAAAAAAAAAAAAAACAAAAAAAGGCACCAAAGGGGGAAGAAAAAAGGAGCAACCAGGGGAGCAGAAAAGAGAAGAGGGGGGGGGAGGAAAAAAAAAAAAGGTAATAGCTAAACAATATTTCGATTACTATGGCGACATTTGTTTCTTCAAATACCCTATTATAATAAACGCCCTTATAAATACATAATTAAATTACCAGGAGTTTATGCCATACATAATTAACTACAAAATTAAGAAATATTACCTGTAATCTGTAGTTCGAGTCCGCGGTCGCTGCTGCAGCTAAGAACGGGTCATAATACACGCTGCGAATAAAACAAATTGTGTTAGCTTCCATACAACTTACTATTAACTCAATATAGATTTAACTAAAGCAATATTTATAGGTAATGCTAAATTTAACCGACTACTAACATACAGCTAAGATTCTATATACATTCTATTATTGCTACAAATACTGCGGAAGAGAAATATATAAGGATGTAAATGCTCAAAGAACTTCGAAGCTACCTCTAAAAAAGCTCTACTTTTTACATGTTAAAGTTTAGTAACAGATAGCGATGCTGTTAATGAGACATTAGTTGTTAATCTCATACCGAAAGTAAAAGTAAAATAGATGAAAAGGTCTCGTGATTAAAATAATCGGTAGGGATAATATGCTGGAGGATGGACGTGTAGATGATGGTTTCGTCTGCGAAAAATTAAAGAAATAATAAATTTAGAAAAACATGGAATATAATAATTCCAAATTAGAATAATATTTTTTTTAATTCAATCAAAGGATTTTAAAGGATAGGAATGTAACATAATTTAATAAAAAATAACTCAAATTGTAGGTAATTATATCTAATCAATTTGCGAACTTTAAATGAATGTCGTAAGCATTAAAGGATCAATGAGTTAAAGTGAAGTGCGGGGTGAGTACTCACTGTGCATATGCGTGCAACGGCGAGGCGTAGGCGCTAGCGGCGCGGGGCAGCATGGGTTGGAAGGATTGCGCGTGCGCTGTCGGGCGAGGGGAACCTCTCATGACGACCGCGCCGCGCAACGCCGACTGGGCTACATGCAACACACATAGGGCTACTACAGGGAAAAGCGAGCGCTTTTTGAGAGGGGAAAAGCGCGCGCTTCCTAAACGGTATAGAGTCATGCGGGTGCCGTGCCGTGCTGTGCGGGGTGTGGGTTACCTGCGTCGCTGAGCGGCGCGCGGGGCCAGCACGAGCGGCGGCGCGGGCGTGGCGGCCGGCGCCGCGCCCAGCCACGGCCAAGTCACGCCGGAAACCCGCAGCCCTGCGCACACACCGCGCCTCTACACACTGACCTAACTAGTTCGGGGTGGCCGCCCCACACCGTATACCTTCCTTTACCCGCTCTTTCTGCTATCGCTTCTATCAGTAACACCTCCTTTGAGTTAAACAACTCCATGGTCTTTTTGGTATTCATCTCAAAATAGAAACCGCGTATTTATAACCTGGGCCACCCCCGTCTTAAGACAACTATGTTGCCAAAATGAACTCACGCACTCAATCCTCAAATAGATGCTGGTGTTCTAATGATTGTGATTTACAGGACCTATAGATCAGGATCGAACATGGCAGTCACACGTAACTAACACATCACCTTCTATTGTCTATGACTATGGAATGCTTTGGATTAGAACTATAAACTGTCATAGACGTCAGTGTTCAGGCCAGGCTACATTACACGATTTCAATCACGAAAATAAATTCAATTCACCGTGCGATCGATTAACACATTCCTACTTTCTGATCTAAATAAGCATGGCCGTTAAGACAGATGCCGATGTGACAACAATTTATCGAGCAATACTTAAGACTATCCCACCACATATAAGTAAAAGTACATGCTCGAATGAATGTTATAAAAGATGTAATCGCGGAAGCTTTCATCGTTCAGTATAGTTTGTATAAAGATCGTTTCTCACCTTCCGGCCACTGGACACACACTGGAACAAAAACATTGAATTAACATATACTAAACACAAAAAAGAGTCTAGAATGCTCTACAAGTGAAATAGTGCACTGAATTATCGTATAAATGACCTATAACAATTATTTTACAGTTAACTATCAAGCCGACTATTGCTGTCTTCGATAAGAAATCAGGCAGGTGACATTGGAGTTAGCTTTTCATGAGTGTCTAAGAAATATATCGTATGTATGACAAGACTCCACAAGACAAGCTTTTCCGTATAAAGTACCTTTAAAATGTGGAATTAGGTTTCGTAGAAAGGTTCGCGTATAAGACGCTGGAAACTGGATATGTTACATGATTTGAATTTTTCACTAATACAAGAACAGCATGATATAAATATACGAAGATTGGATGTTATCTATCAGGGAAATCGTCGTTAAAGGCCACCTCCAATGTCGAAGGAGTATCTAGGAGCATTCATCTAAGCATTCCCACAAAGGATCTAACACGTAGAGATCTCGACACATAAAAGACAACACCGATTGCACAAGGCCTGCACTCTCACCCAGAGTGGGATAGGATCCATTTCTAGCCAGAATGTCTGAATGGGTTAAAAAATGCCAAGATGCATTACACTTTCTTACACAATAAACGTGGGAATTTAGATCATAATTATTGTTTGACTATATTCTTACCGTTTGGCACTGCTGGAGGTTTCTTTGTCTGCACTCGGGCGGTGGCATTATTAACCTGATTTGGGAAGTAAACAATATGTAAAAATATATTCGCGGCGGGTGACAGAAATGTAAAAAAGCCTGATTAAATAAATAAATTTCTAAATCAGGTCTCATATCAACTGGGAATCGAACCCAGGAAACAAATTCTTTATCAAAAATAAACTCGTTAACTTTAAATTACTTAAAAACATGACAGTGTATCACAAAGTTGAACTATGGCAATGGATGACCTAATTAAAAAAAACACAAAGGACAGCTCTCGTAGTACAGTGAAACAGAAGAAGGAAGTAGATGAAAATAAAGTAGCGATAAAGAGTGTAATTCAGTAATTCTTACCTCGCCAACATTGAGACGTTCGTTCTACACTCTGTGACTCTCATTCGATCGGCATTTTAAATGACCGTCTAGAGAGTAAAGGGACAAAATAAATAAGGTTTGTTTACGGATTAGACAAGTCGGCGGCATACTTAGTGCTATAATGCACTAGCATGGCAAACTACAGAGCAGAGCGCAGGTTGCGGTGGGCTGTGGGCTGTGGGCGTGGTAGGAGTGGGATGTTAAGTTACGAGTGCTACGGATGGTAAACATTGGTAATCATTGAATCATGCACACCTCTATCTTTCTGCCCTCAACCACGGTGCCGTGTAGACGCTCTCGTGCTCGCTCCGCATCACCACTATTTGCGAATGTTACAAAACCGAATCCCTGCATGCAAGACAGACAAAACATGCATTAAAAACAGCGTCGCTCAAAAAACAACGTGCAACAAAAATTAACATAATATATGCGTTGCATATTGGTTTATCGAGTTATATTAATTGTTAAAGTTATATTTTCGATTACGTTGATAGTTTGAGCGGTAAGTATCTAGCTGAATGGGTACACATAAGCGTTCGGATTACATTACATTGATACATTAAGTAATTGGGCCTCGAGAGAAACGTTTATAGCTCAGAAATTATTCTTGGGGACAATTTATTTTTCCGTATTATGTGAAATGATAGCTGCAATTTGTTCTAAAGTCGCTCATGCGGGAAACTAAAGAAAACTAGTTTGCCTAAGCAAATAATATGACACTTTTATTAATGATATTATGTCATGGATTAAATCACCCTTCGCTGTACTTAGTTATATATATTTCGTAGTGTATGTACACGCATTAAACTCATATTATAAAAATAGTGCGAAGTTGTACAGTGCTCAGTTCTCTAATCATATATAATTTTATAAAAGCGACATTATACATTTTAAGCCAGTATTTAGGATATTTATGAACTTAATTATAATATTTATATTCGTGCTTAGAAAACTTGTAACTTCATAACATGGTGACAACCCATAGATACAAAAAGCAGCTAGCACAGCACACAATACAGTGGAAAATAGACGAGTTGTGAAAGTGGCAAGTTGCGTACATAACGCTTACACCTATAAAGCATGACAGCTCTATTATTATAAAGTACCATTCTGGGTGCAACAAATTGTACATCAATAATTGGGCAGAGAGAAAGAGAATTTAAAGGAAGGAAGAAACGTGTATTTTGAAGCGTTTAGGACGTGACTACATTTGCCTTAGCAGAGGTGCGCACGCTAAACGAATAGCGTCGACGAAAGTCAACCCGTCACACGAGAAAATCTAATATCGAGACAAAGCTAGACTAAGTGATGCACCAAAGTTACTTCTAATACTTCATTGACCAAACATTTTGGAGTCAGCGAAGTATACATGCCCAAAACTAATGAATTATGTTCCCGGTTAGGAAAAGCGCATGACTGAGAAAAACTAGTAATTAAACAAAATAGACAGAAATACATAACCGTTCTAGACACTGTATTAAAATACAATTCCGAATGCCTCACCATCCAAACTACACGCGGTAGAAGTGAAAACAAACATACATCTACACGTAGAACTAATGTTCATAACAATTAAATTTTCATCAGAAAACACATAAAAAGCGGTGCAGTTTGGATGATTCGTTCAATTAGTCATGAATAATAGAGCTGTCGTCGGAATGATTTAGAATATCAGCTGTTTATGATGCATCATTCTCTAATACATATCCAATGTGAGGCATTGAAGAAATATAACTGGGAGCTATTATCAAAAGAGTAAATACGTAGACATGAGCGAGCATGGGCTACTATAGGATCGGTCACCAAACTGACACAAGAAAAGCAGTAACACGACAAAGCGTTATCAGTCAAATAATTACTTCACAAATCTTTGGACCGTATTCGAAAAGACATCATTGAGTTGTTTTTTGAGTTTCTCGCAATAATCAGAAATACAATTTGCGGTTATCAGCTACTTTGGTGAAATCGTTTTCGTGGATACTTTAATGGATTTACTTAAACATGAAAAGGATTTCACCGCCGTCGCAACCAAGAAACGTTAAAATTATATTCATCATGTAAATTGCAGTTTTAGAAATGATTATTTATTATGTCAATTTACAATGCAATTAGAGATACTGCACCAAACATTAAAACCAGAAATGCTGTGAGAAGGAAATAATTTAAAGATTAATGTTTAGCCCATTTGCCTCAAGACTAAGCGAGGGTAGCTTATCATTACAATGCTTTATTCAAAACTGGTTTGGGCAGTAGTTGTTATAGTCATTGTTATTAAATATATTGAACAATTCAAGATAACAATAACTACAAATAAAATCATTTTAAAGCTACAGGAATACGTCAATTAAAGGTTTTTAAATAGAAAATTTGCAATAAATTGTTAAAACATATATTCCTGTAACTATATACTTCAGAACCAATAATTTGTGCACTATATAAGAAACTACATAAATCACATAGGCTACTAAACACATTTCCACTTTCCTATCATTGAAACAAATTTTATCCCAATTGAAATTCGTATTGAACGCTTTTAATATATTGGTTCTGAAGTTTGAAACAATACAATTATTTTTGAAAAGCGGCTACGTTGGAATCCATACGAAATGGATTTCAATGAGCCACTCGACGTATCGTTGATTATCACAGATTCTTACCTTCGAGCCGCGTTCGTTGAAGATTATTTCTACATCAAGTATTGTGCCATATTGCTGGAATATAAAATATACATTTAAAACCTCTAGATTAATTTAAATAAAAACATGCCGTGCATAGAACAAAAATTACCCCAAACATGTTTCTGAGGTCCGGATCTCTGAATCGGAACGGGATGTTGGACACGTGGAGACGCTTCGGTTGTGACGCTTGTGAGACGGGGACTAACGTCTTCTCGGTTGAAGAAGTGGTTGTAGTGGCGTTTGCAGCGACCGCAGCGCTGACAGCCGCTGCTGCCGCGTGCGCTGCTGCCGCTTGTTGTGCTACTGCCACCGCTGCTTGCTGTGCTACGACCGCTGCTACACTGACTGGCTTTTCATCGGACGACTCACTTTCGCTTTGCTGAAATCATCAAAATATAGAGTAGTACAGTGAACTTTGGATAGGCTTCTTTTTATATAAAAGGTGGCACTGCCGTTTGAAGCTCATCTGATGTTAAGTGCGCCCATAGACGCTCACATTGCCAGAGGGCTTGCAAGTGCGTTGCCGGCCTTTTAAGAATTCACTTTTAAGTCAAATTAATTCGGAAATAAATCGGAGGGCAGCTAGCTGGTGGTGCGCGGCAAAAACTGCCTCAAAAAGCATGGGGCAGACTTCATCTGTTTTATGAATCAGGTAAAACTTAAAACATGAAAATATTGTTCGACCGGAAATCGAAGCCATGTCCGCCGGGGTAAATGCTATTAAACACGCCAAGTGTGAACTGAGCCATTGTGCGGCATAAATTTATTTTGAATATGTCATTAGGTTAACCTATTATAATCGCGAGTACAGAAATAAATCAATAGAGTTCATTCAACTCTGAAACGTACTGTACTGGTGTTGTGATTTTCTGTTGAGTTCTGGGTGACATGTGTTTGCTGGGGGGTGGTGAAAAGTTGCCTGGTGGGAGTGGTGCTGGAGGCGGACCCTCGCTTTTGACTATGGAGGGCTGTGTAGCTGCATCCGCTTTTACACCAGCCAGATCCCCATTGGCCGCAAACTGTGCCGCTGCTGCCGCAGCCGCCGCCGCCGCAGGGAACGGGGCCGCCATGCCCGATCCCACCATGTGCTGGAAAGTGAAAATGCCATATTAATATACTACTATAACCTCACGTGTTTTTTAGTTAAATATAACTTTGTATTCCACAAATTTTAATAGAAACAAGGAAACTGTCAATTGTAAGCGTTATTTAAATTGAAAGCTATTTAAATTCTTGAAACACGTTTTGAGAGGTAATTGTTTATTAAACCTTCAATAACCTCACAATACACGGTTAACACGATAATTATTTAACAAATCAAGGACTCTGACTAAATGTTTTAGCTACGAGGAAAAGAAAGTAAGTGTTAATAACTTTCGTTTTCGATACTTTAGTAATAGTATAAGATCCCGATATACAACGACCTTCACCGAGATGCTTATTTAATAAAACGTATTTTATATTTAATTTAATATGTCAAAAAATATAATCCATATGGGTTGCCTAGCAAATTTCAGTCCAGAGTATGTTTAATTAATATTTAAAAAAAAATATTTTTTTATAATTACTATACTATACAGGTTAACATGGTTGAGACATTTGTACGCACCAGAATGATAATCTTAGGGAAGAGATGGATGGGATGGGAGGTAGGGGGTGGTAGTGTAAAATAGAGTAAAGTGCAGTGTGGAAATTAACTATTAGATGATTAACTGAAGTAATTGCGATTTGCGAGCAAATCCAGGGTCGTTCAAAAAATGCGTACCAAGTTTTAAGACAACGCACTCGCGAGCCCTCTGGCCTAAAAGTGTCCATGGGCGGAGACATCATTTAACATCAGGTGAGCCTCATGCCCGTTTGCCCCATGTTAACAAAAAGAGAAGTATTGCGCGATCCATATAGTGATTAAGGTTGATCTATTTCTTTATAATCTGGCTGAGTTCACAAGAGTGGGTTTATTTATTATGAGGATGAAAGCTAGATATGTTTTTACCATTTGTTATTTTATCTAGTGAAACACAATATACCTACAGTGGTTTTTTAATTGTTTTATTATTTATAAACGCTTTCCAACACTGATACATTGGTACATAATGGAAAAAAATACAAGATTTACTGTGACTGACAGCACACAGGCAAAGAACAAATTCTATAAATATAAAGGAAAATTTATTTCAAAGTGTGAGGGGAGCGACTAGGCTTATCTAGACTTGTTAATCAGAATGCTCCAACTGGACATAGCAGAGCTTTGGCCCGTTCAAAAGAGAAAAGAGGGGATACGTGGTACGACGGGATGTCAACGAAAATTGTAGTTCGGGAAATGAAACACTATTCCCATCTTAATCCAATATAAATTAACTTTCTGTGAATATAACGGTAAAGATTGAATGTGGAAATAATCAAATTAAAAAGGCTTTCAACAGTTCGTTCATACATAATATGAGTTCTGGACAGCACAGGACCAAGATTTCCGTGCATTTAGTATGGAACGATGAATATTTTAGATGAAAATTTATATATTTCCACACTATTGTCATATTTGATTCGAACGTGTATGAATTCCCGGTTAATGCAGGTGATAAAAGCGAATTTTCCACTTCAGGGACGCGGCCCATACTAATTCTGTCGTAATAAATTCAGCTACTTATAGCTGACGTTTCTGGGGTACGAATCGAATTATTGACACCAAGTGCTCGTGCCAAAACTCGAAACGGCGCACACGTAGCTCGTTAGATATGTTGATAGGTTTTAATTACGATCTTTTGTGTCATAAAGATATATTCGGATACGATTCTAGATTTCGTTTTGTGTCATTGGTCTATAGGATAGATTGTTTGTCAGCAAATCATGAAGCTTCGTCATTCGTCTTCGTCAGGCTTCCCCTTGCGATTTTTTGAAATATAATAGTTTCCTTAAGATAAGAACACTTTCTTTTAATTCCTGAAAGCTGTCAGTGCAAGACTGGCTATTTGATAAATAAATAGTACGATAAATCGCTTTATGAAGTAAAAACATCCACAATTAAAAATATTGATTTTTATAGGTACGTCAATCACGTGACACAAAACAGTCAGAATTAGTCAAATTCTAGTAGAATGCTTGTAAACAATGTCTTTGTCTGTCTAATCCTAACCACTCCTTATATGGAAATTGTATTCGTTTTTACAACAAACTCCCAAGCGAAATTAGAGAATTATCACTTTAAATTCAAAGCCCTTGTTAAACGAAAATTAATCAATAAAGCTTTTTATAAAATTGAGGAATACTTAAATAAACCTAATCCTTGGGATTGATTTGCTCCAGTTCAAACAATTTGTATGACAATACTTGGCGATTAAAAAGAGTGGCGAAAAGTTTCTTCCCAGTTCTTCTTACCCGCTCTACGCCCTTGACTTGCGAACTGGTAGTAAATGTAAATTTACAATTAATTTAACTTCTTTCTGACAATTCATAAGTGTACTTGTTTACCTACATGAATAAAGATATTTTGAGTTTGAGTTTACTCTCTTGGAGTTTCATTTCGTCAGGAATGTTTGTAATCTGAATATAATATTCAGAAATAATACATACTAAACTTTACAGTACTAAACCAATACGAAAATGTCGAAAAAGACGGTTAAATAGAATAAAATATATTAGAAACACAATATCGCTTCTATGAACTAGCTCTGAGAACATAAAAATGTCGAAGTAAATAGTGTTAAGTTGACGGAGTTCTGTGCAACAGACTGGTTCCCTTGATATCGCCAAAAACCTTGCCTTCGCCGCCGCACATATCCCCTAGGTACAAATAACGAAGTTCTTGGAACAACGTTCGAACACTTGGGTTGCTCACCATCCCCTTACCATATGTGTATTTGTGTAATTTAACACAAATCGCAGAATAATGATAAACATAAAAAAACTTGTAGTTGTTTTGAGTTGACAAGTATGATACGTCAAAGATGATGCGACGCCATCTTGCGTAATAACGGTTTGACGGGTTATTAAATTATCAATTGTTTTTAATGCCAAACAAAATTGAAAATAACAATTTGCATAGCTGTTATAGATACTAATGTGAATTTGAAATGTTTTTTCAAGTTCATGTCAAATATCCTTTTCAGCGATACTTGCGTGTGCGGTGTGGAACACACACATTGGACAATAGAGTACAGTATACACATGCATTACGTATGTGTGTAAACTCATATTAATAGACCCCATAGTGATCTGGAGACGTGAAAGATTTAGAAAAGTATGATGTGCTTGAATATATAAAAAAGCTTGTTGTTTTACAAAGTTGCAGATTATGTTAGAGAATAGCTAAAATGTTTATGACTTCGAAATGTTTAGTACAACTCAGAGTACCGATTGTTGCAAAACCAATTGTCCTTTTCTCCAGTTCGAATAACCTATATTAAAGCAAAAACTCTGCAATTGGAATTTTGGCAAACCTAAATACAAGAGAATATGTACTAGAATTTTGGGGAATAAATATTGTGAAAATGACTGGAATCCTGTAGCGTTAAGTAGTGTGATTCATAAGGAAGATTTGAATTTAGAACACTTTAAAATCCTACGTAAATTGACTGAAATATAATCTTCGTCATAAGGGGAATTCTACAGCGCGATCCTTGGCGACATCCGACAGATATTGAGAGAAATAGATTTAAAGAGCATACAAAACCGTGTGGTCGGTGTCACTGTTCGCTATCTGAAGATAAGGGCGCTACCTGCCAGTGGCATGGGGCAGACTCTTGTTTGTATGGGTACAGCTTGTGCTTTCTAATGCTAAATAATTATTTCGGTAGGAATCGAATCCCGGCCCTCCAGACTAATGGAAAACGTTTTCAGCGACATTTCGATTAGTTAGCTCAAAATAGAATTTGGAACTTTCTAACAGTTTTCGAAGAAATAATATAGATTAAAAGAAAACTTTGGTAATCAGTTACGACTTTGATTGTAACACATTTTTGTTTTGTTATCAAAACTTTAAGAAAAGAACGAAATATTATGGATTATTTTCTAAGCAAACTCGTAATACAATATATCAAAGAGAAATGGCCAAGGTTAAGAAAACAATGTTCAAACGAAACTTCTGCAAAAGTACTTATTACTCACGCTCCCTTTTATTAAAATTTTCGTTCAAATTAAATTCTTGACGCCCACCGTCTCAAATCTATCAACCTTTTACGATTAAGGGAGTTTAGTGGCTTTATTCAATCCTTAGGAAGTTCATTAAGTTTAACGATTATAATCCGAACGTCTAGTCGTTCATTAGTAAAAAAAGTTCACCATAAATACTAGAAACTGCTTCTTAAACTCCGTAGTTAACTAAGTAATCAGTTACCCAGTTTCACAAATATAAAATATATATAATTATATATACGTAGATCAATAATGTACTTGATTTAGTCCTTTCGACTATATTATAACGTTGACTCGTTTGCAATATTTTTTGATTGCGGTTATTTTCCAGATTTGTAAGTTACCACTTTGGCTACATTTTGAAGTAAAAGGCCCAAAAAACACAAAAAATGGGAATGCGAAAGAGTCTCCTTATGGGTTGAGGAGATGCACCCTGTGGTTTAGTGGGCTTACAATGAGACAATTATTCGCTAAAAATGTATGAATCGTTCTGCAAGAACTGTAATAATACATGTCATACTTATGTCAGAAGTACTAACATACGACCTACACTTGCGTGTCAGCGACAGCCACACAAACCTCATACAAGTACTTAATTGTCACTCAATTATCTACCTGTCTTATTCAGGACTCTCAATCGGATAAACACCGAAATTAATACGTCATTGAACAGCGTAATAATTGCTTCTTGCTTTTATAATATCAAGCTTTAAAAGGCTGTCCTGGTGTTGTTGTTTGCAACTGTCGTCGTTTGAATCCCGGCTAATGCATTTTCGATGTTTTAACACATATGAAAACATCGTGAAGAAACAGCATGTCTGAATTATGTTATTGAAAACACACTTCCGTATGTCACAAAGAGAGATCAATCAAAGTCAGGCACAGAAGGCTTAATAACTTATCAACAATGCAACCTCATATAGGGTTGTAAATACTTCACACCTAGGCCTAGTGAGAAGATGAAAAGGACAAAAGCATTTGAATTAGTGTTAACGTACGTTACTCAGTAAGTGCTAAACAGTGGTAAGTGAAACAATAAAACACAAGAATAGAGTGTCTTCCCTTTAATAGAGACTGTAAGTAGCGTTATTATACGCCAATCACCGTCGTTGCAAACAGGACCAAAGATTCTTCGAAGAATCTTCCACTCGGAAATAAGGAGAGAGATCTCGTCTTTCTTGCTAAGGGGCCAGTTTTCAGAACCATAAGTGAACACTGGTCGCAGAGTTTTGTACAGAACAAGCTTGGTTTTCTTTCTGAGAAGTCGCGATCGGAAATATCTACCAAGGCCGCAGCGATTTGCTATCATGATGCGTCTACTGATCGGCTGGGATTATTATCACTAGTCTCAGTAGACACATTACTTTAACAAACATAGGGTTGTAGTTATATATTGACAAATTGTTTCCACTTGGTATAAATTTCAATTGCATTTATTCATTGCAATAGTTCTATGAGTGCGCAGTAGCGAGGAAACGAGAAAATTAGGATGTGGTTATTGGTCGCAATTGCGTTGACTACTTCTGACCGCGATCCACGGTTAATTTGCACCGCGTTAACTCTAACAAGTTATAAAGCGACAAGGATTTTCAGAAGTATTTGTTTATCAAAGAATACGGTATGTAAGTGTCAACTGTTGTTTTCTGTGCTACTTGAAAGAGAAAGTTTTTAATTTAATATCTATATTGGATAAAAGAAAGAAAACAAAAGTTATTGATGCACTACTCATAGCAAAAAACTTAAGTGGAAATGGGCGGGCCACACAGATCGCATGAACAATGGCAGATGGACAAACAGGGTAACAAGGTTAAAAGGGCTGCCACAGAAAAGAGAGGTCGCCCCTCTTGTGAGCGGCGAGCTTAAAGAAGTTGGTGAGAAGATAGGGAGAAAACTGCTCAAGATAGAGCCAGTTGGAGGCCATTGAAAAGAAAAATTCTGTATAAAATTTTAAGTGTCTAATTTTGTAAAGATGGATGTATTTTTCATGGAATAAATAAGGCTTAAAAATCATATAAAACTGTATTTAATTTTCACTTTTATACGCACAATTACGTGTAAGAGGTCTCGTTTCAAGAAGTCTTTTAAAACCCCTATAATGGACCCTTTTTGAGGCAATAATTTTACGTGAACCTTACAATGCCAGGCAATATTACAAAAACATCAAAATGAATACATTTTTCATGAATAGCGTAATTTCGTAGTTATTGTACGTCGCACAATGGTTTTCCAATGAATAGGCGTCATGAGGTTTATTTTGAAGGTCCTCTTCCTTCTAAAAGGACAACAATACAGGACTGTTTGATACGAAATCAATATTTATCCTTATTTTGATACAAATTTTGTAGACAGAACGAAGCCATTACGATGTATAAAGCATCTTCTTAGGTAAGATTTAGAGTTATGATTCTTATATATTTTTTAAATACAACTCTAAGTCTTGCTTTACAAGTCTTCTAGTTAAGTTTTGATACCTAAAACCCCTTCTTAAGACCTGAAAATATCTTTACTAAGCTGGTGCCTGTCGAACAACTTTGGGGGTTTGCAAAATAGCCTTTGTGTCCACCGTCTTTGCAAATCAAAAGCCGTTATCGAATGTATTTTATGTGCCAGCATCGATCGATTATGTTATTATGTACAGGATAAAGTGACCCGGGAAGTGAGCCTACCCAAGCAATTTTCCTTTATAACAGATAATATACTTTCTACATCAATAAATATGAAAATACTTTACTCCGAGATTTTATGTTCGTGAAGTACGGATTTTTTAGAATGAACCCGTATACCGTTGTGTATAATATTAATAATTTCGTATATTAATATAAATTCAAAATCGTTTACGACGCCATCGTTTAGAATTGAATGTATTAGGAAAGCTGAATTCTATGTATTAAGTACTTAATAACAACGTCATCGGCTGTTACGACTATCGGTTTTTACGACCAAATATGAATAGTCCCTTCGATATTCAAATTTTGACTGTATTTGTTTAGAAGAGGATTCTACAGAGACCTTACTACATATTTTGGTCTGAGGTTGTAAAAACGAAAACCGACACAGCGCACGCTTATGACAACTCTCAGGTACAGACTCAAATATAGAGTGTTATTCACAAACTCGTACTTTTTCTTTAAAAAAATGTTTTAAGCATACACCATGTAATATTTGTAATCTAGATTCCCACAACACAGGGGCTAATGTGCGGACGCGGTCACAACCATATTTCTGACAAGAATAGTTGTAGGTCCCCGACGGACTTGCTAGATTAACGTTAAGTGGTATTTCCCAGTTTTCTGAGTAAGTCGACCTCCACACCAGTACCTTAACGCATCAGGGCATGCTCAATACATTTGCTGCGTATCAAAAAAGGGCCTAACAAAGATTACATTGTAAAGATCTTACAATAATGACCTTATAAACGGAGTATATATTAATATAATATCCGTTTTATAGGTGCATGCTCCTCAACGTTATGAGGTCGTAAATGTAATATACAGAAGATAGAGCCACATTATTAGATTCATGAAACTTCGTGCCTAGTAACTAGTTGTTTTTGTATAAAGTGTTCGTGGATTTGATCCTTTGAATCTCTAACTCAGACACTTAAACTAAATCCCGGATTAAGGCTAAAATCCGTAATTTAAAACTTCAATGGGGTTGTTTAAGTATTACGTAAGTACTATATTGTGTTCTTTAATTTTCTTATTTGGTGATTACGTCAATAGTAATTATTTACTTTTTTACACATATTACCCACAGATTGTCAATGCTTGAAAACGAAATGCATTTTCGAGGATTCCTACAAAAAAAATAAGAGCTTTGCTTACTTTTGCTGACAAGAAAGAAAGAAAGTGGAGTATAAATTGCAGTAAATCTGTTTACATTATATTTGAAGGTATCCAATCAGTAAACAAGGCATGCAAAAATATCTATAGAAATTATAAACTAAATAAATTATTGACTGTAACTATTTTCACTATAAATTAAAACACGGCGAATGAAAGCATTGCTTTGGTTGGCTCACATAATTCTACGTCTATGATAAACGATGCGTAAAACAGACACAAAAATGTGGCTAAAATATTAGGATAAGTGGAAGTTTAAATTCACCTCGTTCCTCTAAAATTAGGGTACAATCTCTAACGCAATTTGAAAACACACGTAGTGAAGAGTTGCGCCTACCGCAGAACTGAGTGCTCTCAGGTTTTGAATCATAAGTGTCTACTACAATACTTAGCCCGCGCTACATTTCCACCTAAATAAATACGAAACCTATTGACCTAGATTAAACTATGAACCTTGACAGCTACCTACATAATGCAATTCGAGATTTTTGTCTCCCATAAAAACAATTATAAAAACTAGTCGAAGGTACCTACCCCCTTCTCTAAATCATCTCGTAATCTCTCATCTCATGTTAGATGATACTACAAAATATTACAACGTGCATCTGCTATTAATGTTATGTCAAAGTTTTTTGAAGTGAAACTTCAGTATGAGGGTAAAATTTGTACGGATGAAACGCAATAATAATATTAGCGTCACGAAGATGTGAGAAGGGCGAATTACCTTATAGAAATTCTATTTTAAAATTTCGTAAAGAGAATTTATGAAATATTAGTATTTTATATTTTATGCAAAATTATTTATTGAAATCTCAAATGGCGAATTGTAAATTAAAATGCCACGTGTTTTTACTATCGAAGAAATGAATTAAAAAAATTAAATTATAATTTGTATTAATTTTCGACACTTTTAATGACAATTAAATTCATTAAATCCCTAACATATCTTCCTTTTTCCCTCCCTCTAAGTCTCGATTAAAGTTCTATTGTATTATACTTCTAGCTTCGTCAAAATAGATTTATTAAGAGTAAATACACATAAAATCATTAAGCTTTGAGGGTTCAATATTTCGTTTTAAATTCCGAATATTTTTTAGATTAAATTGACCGCAACGCATCGTCACGCTCGGGCAGATGCCTAAAACAAACATTATCCGTAGATGAAGGTCGAATTACAATAAATTTGTTACTAATATATTTATATATTGTCAAACTTATGTCGTATGTTGTCAAAAATAAAATCAGAAGAAAAATTTATCTTTGTCTCTGAATAATTATGCTAAATATGCATTTGCAAGTCCATAGATAATTCTGCCTCTTCTGAAAACAGAACGTTTATAAGACATTAAAAGAAACTTCGTGTGAGGCTAACGCCTGTAATAGGACTTTAAAATAGGTCTTTCAACAGGTTCATTGATCCTCATGGATAAAAATATCTAAACTTTAATTCATAATGTGACGGGGCACAGCAATTTGTGAGTTGAACTATCATTAAAAGCAATTATCTCTTGGCGTCTGTGAGTACTTGATGTGTTCAGGCATTCAAAATCACAAAACACCATATAAGTACAATGAACAAAAGTAATTACATACTTGTAAGACTTTGTACGGCGTGTGGATTGAAAGTTCTTCTGTTTTCGTATAAGTTTGAATATAAGAAAAATAGGATTAGAACTGCGTTATAATATTTTCTTGTTTCGTTTTTTTTTTGATATTCCAGTAATTGTGTTATTACTAACAGA